GCATTTACGATGACGAGGAAGACGTGAGCTAATGCGCTTGACTCCACTCCAGTACGAACTTTCGTTCGAAAGCCAATGGAAACACTTGGTTTAGTCGAATTTAATTTTTATGCTAAATGAAAACGCGATTTATTTATTTTGCTGATTGTCGAAAACTTCGCTTGAAGCGAGTGAGGAGCAAATAAGGCTTCGTTTTCTGATTATATTTGTGAAAACTGCACAAACCAGTAGCCACATCGTTGACGTCCACACCATTTCTTCAGTGCGCATTCTTATTATTATTATGTTTGAATGCATGCAGTTTAACCCAAGTGATTGGTCTTATTGCAAAATAAGGAAGTTTTGTGCATTATACCTTCATACCCTTTGTTTAAGTTGACTTTCATAAAAGAAAGGCGAGAAATGAATTTGAACGCAAATCCGGTGCGTGAGGGTCGTAAGGAATTCCTCTCCATGTGATATCGGCTATTTGGCTCATCTGTACACCTATCCCCTTTCTTTCTCTATTCATTGCCTAATAAATCGATTGCAACTAACCATCTCTTGAAGTTCGTGGTTCAAGAGCACGAGGGTAGACAGGCAGTTCTTATAGTGACAACCGTTTACTTTGGTATTTTTCTTGCATTTTCATCGATCCCCAATAAAATCTCTTCATCCTGTATACATGCTTTTTTGCTGTAAAAATGCATTCTTCAACGTGATGGGAAGTTTAAAAGGGCTTTACCAACATTTTGAGTTGAACATTTGTACATTAACAAGTCCTTACAAACAGTCAATATATGCTTTGCCAAAAATACACCAAACGCTCGCGCCTACTACGTGTTGCTACCGTACTTAATCTTTAATTATTTTTAAACACATCTCCCCCTTTAAATAAGCACGCTTATTTTTGTATCCGCAAAGTCAGTTGGCTGTATGATTTTTACTTGTTTGTGCTCTAGACTATTTACTTGTTTAGTTTTATCAATCGATTTTCCTTGGTCAACAAAACGGTTGTTAACTTTTCAAAGGTCCAACGAACTATCGCTCAGTCATTCGGAGGCGTTTTGCATTGCATTATTTATGCTGGCCTCTTAATGGTGTTTTAGGCATTACATAAGACAAATGCACTCAACTGCTGCGCATTATCAATTTATCTTTCCAATGTTAAATTAGCAAGGAACACAAAGATGTTATTACCTAAGGACCAACATTTCTTTGAAGAATTCCTCATACTTTGCAAGTTTTTGTCTTTTGTTGTATTTGAAATTTGAGCTGAATTTGTTTGCTTCATACTTCTTTTACACCACTGTTAAAATTTGCTCTTTTTCGTCATTCAAACATTGTTCAAATCCCTACCGTTTTTCGTCTTAACTCGATTTAACATTTACGCATTTATGCATTGCCTCTTGTTTGAATGCCTGCTAGAAACATGTTTCTAATATTGTCCTGTAATCCATGGGCGTGCTTGAGTTTGGTCAAATTTCAAATCTGGGTTGATGCCTAGCAATATCACTTCAGTAGCTCTTTTTAAGTAAAATCACTTTACTGATTGAATATATATGCCAAATTTAGTGCTGTTTTTTTAACTTTTCACAGGAACAGATCATAATCTTCACAGACGGAGTAGCAGAGAAGATGAATGTCTGAGGAACATGATGCTACGTCATGCACAACTTCGTTGTTGGCGTAATCGAAGGCGACAACATTCGCAACATCCATTAGGTAACTGGAAGTCCATTGTTCACACGTTCGTTTGTACCCGTCGCCAAGCCAGTAGTACTTCCACTCCCTGCATCAAAGGGTAAAAATTGAGTTGTTGTTAATTATTTAAGTGAATAGAACTATGTGTGAAATTTAAGAATATTTGTTTTGTGTAGTGTCAATGTATAAAGGAGAATCATCTACCATCGAGGCACGAGGGAGTCTTTTGTCCCATCCATTGAGATTATTGTACTGTTGGCCAGTCGTCCAACCATAAAATCGTACCAGCTTCGAGCCACGAGCTCGCCCTAAGGAAGATCGGTAATGCTTTCATCGCCTTTGAAAGTGTTATGAAGGTTATGCCGAACTGCTCTGAAAAAGGAGCTCTTGTCCACACCACTTTTTACCTCCACGGTAAGCAGTCATCTATCAGGA